CATGTGTAGCATCATTAATGCAATACCAGTGTGAAAATACTAAAAATACTCTATGGTGACCACGCAGAAAATAAAATATTATACAAAAGTCGTCCCGTAATGCAGATAAAAAAATTGGTCTCCCTTTTGCAGTTATTTCAGGGTATATATCTATATATATATAATATATAATATATGCACACAATTAATATGTATATATATATCTATATATATAATCTATATATATATATATACATTATATATTATATATATAATATATAGTATATATTATTAAATATATATTATATATAATATGTATATATCTAAAAAAAAAAGTCAAGCTAATGAATGCCCCCGAGGCGGGCCAATTTTGACCCAGGGCCTTTTTATTTTGAACAAACTTTGGTAGACATCCCTATAGAGAACATGTTTCATGCTAAATTCTAGCTCTAGCTCTTTGAGTTCTTTAAAAGAAGATTTTTTAAGTTCATTTCACTATATGCACATAGGGAAAAATCAATGACCCCCGGGGCGGGGCCAATTTTTGACCCCAGGGCTTTTATTTGAACAAACTTGGTAGACACCCATGAAAACCATGTTTCATGCTAAATTCTTAGCTCTAGCTTTTGAGTTCTTTAAAAGAAGATTTTTGAATTTTTACTAATGCACATAGGGAAAATCAATGACCCCGGGGCGCGGGCCGATTTTGACCTAGCTTTATTTGAACAAACGATTGGTAGACCACTCACTAGAAGAGTTTTCAGCTTTATATCTAAACACTAGCTCATCTGGGTTTTTTCAACGAAAATTTTAAGTTTTGCTTATACACCATGCAGTCATATAAGGAAAACAATGACCCCGGGGCGGGGCCAATTTTGACCCTAGGGCTTTGATTTAACAAACTTTGTAAATCACTAAAGATGGTTTCATGCTTAATAGCTAAACTTCCAGCTATTTGGGTTTTTTAAAGAAGATTTTTTAAGTTTTTGCATATACACATATAAGGAAAATTCAATGACCCCGGGGCGGAGCCAATTTTGACCCCAGGGCTTTTTTTTAACAAATTGGTAGGACAACCCCATTAGAACAATGTTTCATGCAACATATTCTTAGCTCTAGCTCTGTGAGTTCTTTAAAAGAAGATTTTTTAGTTTTGACTATTGCATAGAGGGAAAATCAATGGACCCCCTGGGGCGGGGCCAATTTGACCCTAGGGATTGATGTTGAACAACTGGTAGCACTCATTAGAAGATGTTTTCATGCCAAATATCTAAGCTCTAAGCTCTTAACGGTTTTAGAAGAAGATTTTTTTAAGTTTTTTTATTGGTTGCCATGGCAACCAGATGTCTTTTAATGCGATTTAAATTTTTGAACAACTTGAAAGGGTCCACCTAAGGATCATTTCTGTAAAGTCTGGTTGCAATTGGCCATGTTAGTTTAGGAGGACGATGTTGTTTGAAAAGTTTGACGCCATTTTTTGAAGGACGCACGACGCACGACGGACGCAGAGTGATGACAAAAGCTCACCTTTGAGCACTTCGTGCTCAGGTGAGCTAAAAAAAGCAATATTAAGTAAAACAAGAATATTTTTTTATAATAAGAGTAGTGCCCTGAAATTATTACAGACTTGTACACTATTAAATATTATAGTCCATACATTTCTAAGCCACAAGCAAATAGGCTATGCTAATTGAAGTCTTAAGATAAAGATGTTATAATAACCATGGAATATTGATGTGCTATCTCATAGTGATGCATGTAAGCACTTGGGCTTACAACTTCAAGGTTGGATGATAAAACAATACATATGACATACGAAATACTCATAAGTCATATTTCAATCATAAGCAAAGTAAATGGAATTCTGTCACAGGAGACAGCGAAGCTCGACTAATAAAAACTGGACGCAGAAGGAGGACAAAACTATGAAAGAAAATTCCATTATGTATATTTTATATATTTATATCATATTATAGTAAAAAAAAACATTTGTTACATTAATTCCAAGATCAAGGAATAATTCTAAGAAATAGTCATGCTAGAGTTATGACCCTTGTCACACAACAGTTGTTAATGATAAGAAAAAATATATTGAAAGTTTGAAGTAATACCTTAAAAGTAAGAAGTTATTATATTTCTTAAAGAAAATCCTGAAGTTCAAAGAGAGATAAAATCTGTAATTATTGCTTCAAGATTATGAACCATTTTCACAAAAAATGTAATTTTGATGATAAGGAACTAAGTATTTGAAGTTTGATGGTAGATACCTTTAAAAATAAACAAACTAGGCCATGATGGCCCTGAAGTCGCTCACCTGTATACGGGCCCCCCGGAGCGGGGTTCAAGTTGTAAACCCCAGGGCTTTTTTATTTGAATAAACTGGTCAGACACATTAGAAGATGTTTTCATGCTTAACATCTAAGGTCTAGCTTGTTGGGGTTTTTTAAAAAAAAAAGATTTTTTAATATTTTTTCTTTACACATTACTAGTATTAAAAAACAATAACAGGGCCTGGGGGCAGGGCCAGTTTTGACCCCAGGTGCTTTTATTTGAACAATCTTTGTAGACACTTACTAGAAGATATTTAATGCTTAATATCTATATTCTAGCTATTCGGGTTATTTCCAAGTAGATTTTTAAGTTTTGCTATCACATATAAGGAAAATCAATGTCCCCCAGGGTGGGCCAATTTTGACCCAGGGCTCTTAGTTTGAACAAACTTTGGTAGACATCCATTAGAAATGTTTCATGCTAATATATCTTTAGCTCTAGCTCTTTGGATTCTTTAAAAGAAGATTTTTAAGTTTTTACTATATTCATATAGGGAAAATCAATGACCCCCTGGGGCGGGGAAAATTTTGACCCCAGGGCTCTTATTTGAACAAACTTGGTAGACATCCATTAGATCATGTTTCATGCCAAATATCTTAGCTCTAGGTCTTTGGGTTCTTTAAAAGAAGATTTTTAAGCTTTTACTACAGGCATATAGGAAAAATCAATGACCCCCCAAGTGGGGCCAATTTTGACCCCAGGGCTTTTATTTGAACAAATTGGTAGACACTCCATTAGAACATGTTTCATGCTAAATATCTTAGCTCTAGCTCTTTCGGGTTTTTTCAAAGAAGATTTTTAAGTTTTTTACTATATTCATATAGGGAAAATCAATCCCCGGGACAGGGCCAATTTTGACCCCAGGGCTCTTATTTGAACAAACTTGGTAGACATCCATTAGAACATGTTTCATGCCAAATATCTTAGGTCTAGCTCTTTGGGTTCTTTAAAAGAAGATTTTTAAGCTTTTACTATATGCATATAGGAAAAAACAATGACCCCCTGGGGCGGGGCCAATTTTGACCCCAGGGCTTTTATTTGAACAAACTTGGTAGACACTCATTAGAGATGCTTCATGCTAAATATCTTAGCTCTAGCTCTTTGGGTTCTTAAAAGAAGATTTTTTTTAAAGTTTTTACTATATGCATATAGGAAAAATCAATGACCCCCTGGGGCGGGGCCAATTTTGACCCCAGGGCTTTTATTTGAACAAACTTGGTAGACACTTACTAGAAGATGTTTCATGCCGAAAATCTAAGCGTTAGCTCTTTGGGTTTTTTAGAAGAAGATATTTAAATGTTTTTCTTTTGGTTGTTTGGCAACCAGAGTTCTGCATGGAATTAAATTCTTTGAACAATTTTCAAAGGTGACCACCAAGGAACATTCCTGTGAAGTTTGGATGAAAATTGGCTTACTGGTTAATGAGGAGATGTCATTTAAAGTAAAAGTTTACGGACAACAGACGACGGACTGACCACAGACGGACGGACAACAGACGAAAAGTGATCACAAAAGCTCACCCTGTCAAAAAGTGACAGGTGAGCTAAAAAGTTATAATAAAATAACATTTTTCTAGTAAAAAAATCTAAGTTTATGGAGAGATAATTCTTGCAATATTGGTGCTAGAGTTATGAACCTTGTCACATAAGATGGGGGATGATGAAAACGTAAATATATTTGAAGTATGAGGTTGATCCCTTAAGAAATAAAGAAACAGTAAGAAATAGTATCTTTTGAGGAAAATTTCTTAGTTCAAGTAGAGATAAATCTGAAACTATTGGTGCTAGAGTTATGAACCTTGTCACATAAGATGGGGATGATGATAAGGTACATATATTTGAAGTATGAAGTTGATCCCTTAAGAAATAAAGAAGTAACAGTAAAAAATAGTATTTTTTAAGGAAAATTCTAAGTTCAAGGGGAGATAAATCTGAAAATATTGGTGCTAGAGTTATGAACCTTGTCACATAAGATGTGGTTGATGATAAGGAACATATATTTGAAGTTTGAAGTTGATACCTTAAGAAATGACAAAGTTATAGTGAAAAATATTTTACTGCACCAAAACTTTAATTTAAAATCTGGACGCGGACGCCGGGGTGAGTAGGACAGCTCTCCATATACTTCGTATAGTCGAGCTAAAAACGATATTGCACTAGACGATATAACACTAGTGTAATAACACTTTTAAGTCACGTCATTTGCACTATAAACATAGCGTTAAAGCGCGCTAATGTTAGCGTTACACTATAGGCGCGTTGTAGAAAAATGACTCTTGTTAACAGTTTACTGTTCTCATTTTATATATGTGATAAATAGAATATTATATTCATGTAGATTCAATAGTAAATTTATTGAACTCGCTGAATAAAACAACATTATGCTCGCCAGAGGCTCGCACAATATGATTTTATTCAATTCGTTCAATAAATTTAGTATTAAACCTACACTCATTCAATATCCTTTATATATTTATGAAACATTTAAAACAAGACGCAATAGAGCCAGGTCTGCAGTTTAGTCTTGTTTGGCTTAAATGCTCATGCTGTCTGGTCTTGGTCAGCAGATGCCTGCTTGATAAAGTTGTCATGTATAGTTTTGTTTATAGTTCATACACACTGATTTTTCTATTTCAATACTTATGAACAGATTACTATCTAAGACAGTTGTAACAGTGTCTGAGAGAAGCTTCTCATTTTGTTGTCTCATTTAATAGATTTATACTTACACCCTCTTGTGACCTCTGGTGTCTGTGGGGTGTTCACGTCCGGGTACATGTTTTCAGCCTCGTCACTGATAAAGTTGATCCAATAATCCTCAGGTATCTCAAACAGACGGTCCATTACCATGGCCTGGTATTTAGTCTCATTAATTAGCTGCATTGGCTCTGGTTCTGGGCAAGAGTGGCCTACAAGGGTGGGTCCAAACACACGGGCCAAGTTGTTTGCTGGCATCTTACATTCTGTGGTCTGTGACACCCTAAACACAGTAAAAGAACAACATTTCTTAATCACTTTTCTTATAATGATATATTTATAAGCCAATATTATTATTTCTTAAAATAGTTACACAATCCTGTTAAGACCAGGGGTTCTTGAAATAAACTTTATATTGTGTATTTTGAATCATAAAACAAATCACATAAAAAACAACCGAATCATAATTTTTGTCTGCATTTGGATCATTTTGTTGTTTTATCTTTTCCACATTTAACTACTAGTAATGCAAAGTCTTATAAAATGAAAGATAGCAATTTGTTTAGGAAATAGTTATCAATTTCGAGTGCATTGTTGTAGAATAATTCATGGTTAGAGTTCAAATGCGCAGGACTGATAGGCCTGAGTAATTAATTAATACAAAGCATTTGAACAATAAACCGTGCATTATGATACTATTACTATCATGCAAGAAACAAGAGCCACCGCCGGGCGGGGGCAACGCTCGACTTTTTACTTTTTCTAAACGCAAACATAGAAAGGTTTGAACATATATTAACGTTTCCTTTTTATAAATTTAGTTGGTCTGTCTTGTCACATTAGTTTTCTTTATATATTTTGTATATATATGAATAGAAACATTAAGCATATTTCTAAAAATAGCAACAGTATGCAATTTCTTAAAATAGCAACATGACGCAATTTCTCAATATAGAAAAAATGACGCAATTTCTAAAAATACAAAAAATGATATAATTTCTAAAAATAAAAAAGTGATGCAATTTCTAAAAATAGCAACAATGATGCAATTTCTAAAAATAGAAAAATTGACGCAATTTCTAAAAATAGAAAAAATGAAGCAATTTCTAAACAAGAGCACCGCTAGGCGGAGCATTATATGCCCGAAAGTGGGTTTTTTTTTTTAGTAAAGATGAAGCATTTGTAAGACATGGGACTAAAATAAAGTATTACCTCCTTCAAATAACAATCCTCCTTTGCAGTTTCAATATTGTGGTCCAAATGGAACTTTTAAGTTATGTCCCAGAAACTGTTTTCAATTCTAAGGTAAAAGTGACCTTGACCTTTGACCTTGTGACCCCAAAATCATGAGGGGTCTTTAACCCAATATGGACAATCATACTATGAAGTTTAAACACCAGTAGGCCAAATGATACTTAAGTTATATTCCGAAAACTGTTTTCAGTTTTAAGGTAATAGTGGCCTTGACCTTGTGACCCCAAAATCAATAGGGGTCTTCTACCCAATATGGACAATCATCCTATGAAGTTTGAATATTGTGGCTAAATGGAACTAAAGTTATGCTCAAGAAACTGTTTTCAATTTCTAAGTAATAGTGACCTTGATCTTTGACCTTGTGACCCCAAAAATCAATAGGGGTCTTCTACCCAATATGGACAATAATCCTATGAAGTTTGAACACTGTGGGCCAAATAGAACTTAAGTTATGCTCCGGAAACTGTTTTCAGTTCTAAGGTAATAGTGACCTTGACCTTTTGACCTTGTGAACCCAAAATCAATAGGGGTTTCTACCCAATATCGTCAATCATCCTATGAAGTTTGAACACTGTGTGCCAAATGGAACTTAAGTTATGCTCCGGAAACTGTTTTCAGTTTTAAGGTCATAGTGACCTTGACCTTTGACTGTGACCCTAAAATCTAAAGGGGTCTTCTTCCAAATATGGACAATCATCCTATGAAGTTTGAATATTGTGGGCCAAATGGAACTTAAGTTATGCTCCGGAAACTGTTTTCAGTTTTAAGGTAATAGTGACCTTGACCTTTGACCTTGTGACCCCAAAATCAATAGGGGTCTTCTACCAAATATGGACAATCATCCTATGAAGTTTGAACACTGTGGGCCAAATGGAACTTAAGTTATGCTCCGGAAACTGTTTTCAGTTTTAAGGTCATAGTGACCTTGACCTTTGACCTTATGACCCCAAAATCAATAGGGGTCTTCTACCCAATATGGACAATCATCCTATGAAGTTTGAATATTGTGGGCCAAATGGAACTTAAGTTATGCTCCGGAAACCAAATTGCTAACGGACGGACGGACGGACGGACAGACGGACGGACGCCAGGGGGTATAACATAATATGTCCGAAATTCTTTCGGGCATATAAAAAAGAAAAAAATGACGCAATTTCTAAAAATAGAAATTATGACGCAATATCTAAAAATAGAAATTATGACGCAATTTCTAAAAGTAGAAAAAATGACGCAATTTCTAAAAATAGCACCAATGACGCAATTTCTAACAAGAGCGATCAGTAATCACATGTGTCGCCTCATGATGGCCAATTTCATGTTGGGACAAATTTGTGACAGACGGACAGACAGACGGACAGTGCACAACTAGACTAACCACTTTGTACTGATCATTCCTGTAAAGTTTGGAAAAAATTGCACCAGTAGTTTATGAGGAGTAGTCCGGACAAGCTTTTGCGTATCTGGCAACACACAGAAAAAAACACCTTTTTATCAAAGGGCCATAACTCGGCCAAAAATCATTCAACCGGAAAACCCGTGCAATATGCGCAAGGACTTGAGCTACAGATCAATCCTGTAAAGTTTCATTGAAACTGCATAAGTGGTATAAGAGAAGTAGTCTGGACAAACTTTAAAAATAAAAATTATTAAAGGGCCATAACTCAAACAAAAATCATTGAACCGGAAAATGCTGACAATATGCACAACTAGACATGGTACTGATCATTCCTGTAAAGTTTGGATGAAATTGCACCAGTAGTTTATAAGGAGTAGTCCGGACAAGCTTTTGTGTATCTGGCAACACACAGAAAAAGAAACCTTTTTATCAAAGGGCCATAACTCGGCCAAAAATCATTCAACCAGAAAACCCGTGCAATATGCGCAAGGACTTGAGCTACAGATCAATCCTGTAAAGTTTCATTGAAATTGCATTAATGGTATAAGAGAAGTAGTCCGGACAAACTTTAAAATTAAAAATTGTTAAAGGGCCATAACTCTGACAAAAATCATTGAACCGGAAAATCCTGACAATATGCACAACTAGACTTGGTACTGATCATTCCTGTAAAGTTTGGATGAAATTGCACCAGTAGTTTATGAGGAGTAGTCCGGACAAGTTTTGTGACGGACAGACGGACAGACAGACAGACGGACAGACAGACGACGGAGAAGTGATCCCTATATGTCGCCACTACTCCGTAGAGGCGACACAAAAATAGAAATTATGACGCAATTTCTAAAAATAGAAATTATGACGCAATTTCTAAAAATAGAAAAAATGACGCAATTTATAAAAATAGAAAAAATGACGCAATTTCTAAAAATAGAAATTATGACGCAATTTCTAAAAATAGAAATTATGACGCAATTTCTAAAAATAGAAATTATGACGCAATTTCTAAATATAGAAAAAATGACACAATCTCTAAAATTAGAAACAATGACACAATTTCTAAAAATAGCACCAATGATGCAATTTCTAAAAATAGAAATTATGACGCAATTTCTAAAAATAGAAAAAATGACGACATTTCTAAAAATAGAAAAAATGACGCAATTTCTATAAATAGCAACAATGACGCAATTTCTAAAAATAGAAATTATGACACAATTTTTAAAAATAGAAAAAATGATGCAATCTCTAAAAATAATAAAAATAGAAATTATGACGCAATATCTAAAAATAGAAAAAATGATGCAATTTCTAAAAATAGAAAAAATGATGCAATCTCTAAAAATAGAAACAATGACGCATTTCTATAAAAAAAAAAAAACAATGACCCAATTTCTCAAAATAGAAACAATGACACAATTCTATAAATAGAAACAATGACGCAATTCTATAAATAGAAACAATGTCACACTTTAAGTTATTGTTGTTGTTGTTGTAAATACAGACACACACACACCAATAAATATTTAAATATGGTCATTTAATGCACAAATCTGAGAAAATTCAGTAATTTAACCTTCAAGGTCAAGGTCATTTAAGAGCCCAAGCAAAGTTGGGTTTGATAACAACAAGTCTGGTCCTTAAGATGTTCTCTATAATATGAAGTTGATCCCTTCAATAATAGCAAAGTACAGTCAGTGACTGCCAAAACAATGAAAATTTCAATAATTTGACCTTCAAAGACAATGTCATTAATGTGTGAAGGTCAAGGTCTTTCGGTATATCTTTAACAGAAATCTTTGAAGATTATTATGTTCAAGTTTCAGGACAATCCATTCAAAATAACAAACTTACAGCCAAAAAAAGCCAAAAAAAATGAAATTTCAATAATTTGACCTTCAAAGTCAAGGTCATTTTATGAGTGAAGGTCAAGGTCTGGCTGGTTATTTTTAAGGGATATCCTTAAAGATTATTATGTTCAAGTTTGAAGACATTCCATTCAAAAATAACAAGTTACAGCCATAACGCATGAACAAGCAAAAATTGGACTTTTAACCTTGAAGGTCAATGTCATTTATGGATGAAGGTCAAGGTTAGTGTGGTCTACTGAAAGGTCTTGTCCCAAGGGTTGTTGTGGCCAAGTATGAAGACAATACACAAAGAAATAAAAAAGTTATGATGGGACTTTTAACCTTGAAGGTCAAGGTCATTTATGGATGAAGGTCAAGGTTAGTGTGGTCTACTGAAAGGTCTTGTCCCAAGGGTTGTTGTGGCCAAGTATGAAGACAATACACAAAGAAATAAAAAAGTTATGATCCAGGTACAAGTTTTCGGACGGCAACAGCTTCGGCAACGACAACACCGACCTGACTGTAGCAATACCTCTATTTTTTTTTCAAAAAAAAAAGTCGAGCTAAAAATACTTTTTACTTCCATTCTAACTAATGCTAATAATAAAGAGAATTGTATAAAAATACGTTGTACTACATTTAGCTTAGATGTAATTTTTCTGACATGATTTGGTTTATTTAAGTCCTATATGATGTCAAATGGTTTGTAACCATTTCTTTTTTATCCTGTGCATATATCATGTAATAATGCTCTTGACTGCCCTATCTGTTTGACAGGGGAATATTATGAAGCATGTTACAATAAAAGGTAATTCACTGCATACCTGAGTAAATGAAGCATAAGGAAGGCTATTGTATCTCTATTGGCTCGTGGCAGCTCGCTCAGGGCCTGGTACATGTCCGACTCTGCCATTGCTTTGTCCCGATTTTCTACAGATATAAAATAAAGATGTTAACAATAACATGTAAAACCTTGAAACACTTAATATAAAAGAGAACAAAACTCCTTTCTTTACTTATTAGCACAATATTTTTTACTAGTTGTAACCTTCAAAAGCTTATTGCAAATAAATCCAACACCAAAACAATTGTTTCCATTTTTTATGTAAGGATATTCTACAAGATCAAAATAATAATAATTCAAACAAGAGCCATGTCAACATGGCCATCCCCCGCCGAATGTGTTTGCTCATTGGAAGAATGTATATGTAGTAGAGCGGAATAATTCCATTTTAAGAGGTCTTTAGGTAATAAAAACTGAAGGCTATAGTGATAACAGATTTGAAACCTATGTGAATACTGATGGCTGAAAATAACAAAGGGCAATTACTGAAAAATAATGCAGGGTAGGTTATCATGATTCTTGTGTGCTGCATCCCTCCTCAGTTAAATCTATACACCTATGAAGTTTCAAGTTGATACCTCAAATACTTTTTGAGAAAAAAATTGAATTGAAAAATTAAGTATGAAAAAGAACAAAGGGCAATAACTCAAAAATTATAAAAGGTAGAGTTATCATTCTTGTGCAGTGCACACCTCCTGAGTGAGATCTATGCACCTATGAAGTTTCATTTTGATATCTCAAAGGCTTTTTGAGTTATGCTCTGGACAAAAATAATTTGAAAAATAACAAAAGGCAATAACTCAAAAATTATGAAAGTTAGAGTTATCATTCTTAAGCACTGCACACCTCCTGAGTGAGATCTATGCACCTATGAAGTTTCATGTTAATATCTCATAGGCTTTTGGAGTTATGCTCTGGACAAAAATCAATTTTGAAAATAACAAAGGGCAATAACTCAAAAATTATGCAAGGTAAAGTTATCATTCTTGTGCACTGCACTCCTCCTCAATGAGGTCTATCCACCTATGAAGTTTCAAGTTGATAACTCAAATACTTTTAGAGATATGCTCCGGACAAAAATGTCGGACGGAAGGACGGACGGAGACTATTTCTATATCCTCCGCCGAAAATTTTCGGCGGGGGATAATAAGCTTGCTATATACCAAGTGTGATTATAATAATTTGTTTCAAATCTTGACTTGTTATCGACGGGAAACCACCTGTTTGAACCGCGCCCAAGGGCCAAATCACCAGCCATTCGACAAATCTAATAACCAGACTTTGCACAACTGAAAAACTGGTTAATTACTTGAAACAGGCCCAAGGATTATAATTTAACAACAAAAATAACAAACAAACCAGCTGCATGGACAAAATCTCTCCACAATCTGAATGTTACCAATGGCTCCTTCAGGCCTCGAAGAAAGTCCTTCAAACAGCCACATATTACATGAATGTCATCAATATTTGACTGAAAGTAACAATTTGATATTTTAAAGAGTGTAAACCTCCGTGAATAACTTGTGAAACATGCTATATAAATATCAAACATTGGGCGATTTACATCAATCTTTCAATTTATGTGGTTTTTTTTTAATCAAGTCACAGTTATACTTTAGATTATAGACTAACATTACACTTTTATTCCCTATATTTACTTCTACACCATTTATCATCATCTAGGAAGAATAAAAATGTTTTTTATATTTTTTTTTTGTTTTTTTTTTTGATAGAGGGGACAATCTACCATCTTATAAAGAAGGTTTATGTCTAACTAACTAATGAGTTCAAAGTAAGATGAAAATGGTGAAGTCCAACACTACAACACCAGATTTGGTTTAGCAGTTTCGCTTCTATCTAACTAATGAGTTGAAGAATTACAAGGGCAACAATTATTCTATATATCTATATATTCATTTTCTTTTACTTGTATGTACCCAATAAAGAAAGTTACAACAAAAATATCCTACTTACCAAGTTTGGCATGCCTTTACCCTTGAAAAACTTCTCTTTCAGTTCCTTAACTTGTCTGTCAGATCTGCAAATGAAAAAAACAAATAAAAATTTTCCTTTTTTCATATACTGTATATATACAATCATAAAATCATCCCCCTTGCCATGTTCTATTACATAAAAGTAAGTTCTCCCCCTTCACTCTTTCAAAATTATATAACTATAAATGGAATTATCATTTTCCATTGTTCTATAATGAGTTCTTTGAGTAATTAGGCTGATCTGAAAATTAATATACATTTAAATAACTTCAACTCTAGATAAGTAACAAGTTGGACCAAATAGACCATAAAAATACATATCAAGACTAGGAAGTATCAATAAATCAGCCCATTGGATAAATCATGAATTTCTTTGCTACCTAAAATCTACCATTTTGTTCAGTTATCTTCATAAAGCAAATCATTTAAAACTATAAATGTGACCGTAGGCAACAGATGATCCCATCTTGTTTTGTCAGTATATGGACAAGTGTAAACTTTTATTACATGCTTTTCGGTGGTTTATAGAAATATATCAGTGATATAAAACTGGTAATTTCACTGTTTGAAACAGTGAAATTACCACTTTGATAATTTCACTGTTTTGAATTTAAGCACCTAACGTTGTTTCAGTGAAATACCAGCGTGCACAGTACTGGGTACCAGCTTAATGATGTGACGTCGTAAATGACGTCACGTTGTTTTATTATTTGGCGCGCTTTTCATTTAGTATTAGGTTTAATGTCTTTTTTAAACGTTTATTTGCATGTAATAAAAAGAAAATTTGTTTAGTTTAGTGTAAGATCATAATATATTTCACCTTGTGAACACCAAAAGTTCATATTTCACTCGTGGCTGCGCCACTCATGAAATATACCTTTTAGTGCTCACTCGGTGAAATATATTCCGATCTTACACTGAACTAAACAAATATCCTCTATATATTTGCTCACCTTAATTGAGGCATTTAAATGGAACATTCTTTTACAGTACATTAAGAAATCTATGCATATGTGGTTAAATTTTGAACATGACATCACAGCTTGCATATTCAGTATTCCTGAAATGACCCGGTCTTTTTCACATCCAGTACTTGACAATATAGTCTTTTTTTATATATGAAAGTGGATATATCTTAAATCACAATAATTCTCAAATTGCAATAATTAATTGGATTCTTTTTAATTGTTACTATTTATAGTGACATGTTTAATAAGGTTATATATATACCCTGGTACTCTGTAGATTCCTACTTCATTAAGTCCCCGAGCCTCTATCTCATTCACACAATGAATCTGTAAATCAATGACAAAATGGTCATTAGAACAAAAACATAAATCTAGAAATGATATTAATAATTTCATTTTAAATGTAAGTTAAGGAAACACAAAAGACAGCAGTCTCCAGCTGAAAAATTCATCTCCATATAAAAGTTACACCTTACTAAAGCAAAATGAATGAAAAAGATGTTAGATGCGAAGAATTTAGTCAGATATAATAATGCAGTTAGAAATTAAATTCTTATTTCTGAGAGTCAAGTCGATCAATACTGTTAACGTGTTTATGTCCCATTAATAAACATTGTGACTTTCCACCATTTACTGGACCTACTGAGGTGCGACACCTGTCCATTACTATAAATGAAGTTAAGAGAAATATGAATGATTATCACAAAAGATGAAAGGACTTACCACTATGCCTGGAATCATTGGGCATTCATCTCGGCAGTAATCAGACAGTATCCCCTGAAAATATACATATTATTTGATAATTCTTATCTTTATATTTTCGCAGAAAACAATCATATTCCAAAACAAAAGTGGAACTTCAGGGCTCACGCTGTCAGTCGCCATTTGCGATTATTTTATAAGATTGGCGATTATTTTTGCATTTTGGCTACAAAATCTGGCGATTTTTTTTTACTTCCAAGGCCATCCTTAAAAAAATGTGTGTTTGCAGTAACCCGACCCAGAATTTTCAAGGTGGGTAGGTAGGTCGATTTTTTTTTTTTTTTTTTTTTTTTTTTTTTATTGAACTGTACTTCCAAATAAACATGGAATTTCAAAATGCTGGACAATATATGCTTTGTTTATCTGGTAACAATAAATAAATTGATAACTGAATTCTAATTTAATAAGACCTACATTTTATTTCTTCTATAAACCTTTAAAAGAACGAAAACAAAGCACAAGGCATAATTTTCTGATTCCAAAAAAAAAAAATTTATCCTGACCATGAAAAAAAAATTTGAGTAGGGGCAAATTTTGTGAGTCGGTCGCGTTACTGCAAACGAACATTTTTTTATGGATGGCCTAACAGTGTTTATATAAGGTGTAAAAATCGATAAAGAATGCAGCAGACCTAGATCTACTCCAGTTCTGTGTGAAATGTGGAAATTGACAGTGGGTATAGCTGATAAAATTTGATTAGAGCAAACAAACAAAATTTGTCTGTTAACAGCATTATGTAAATTTATAATGAATCTTTAATATTATTGTTATACAGTAATTATACTATATAACATTTTTATTCTGTTCTAAAATAACAAAGTTGTGGTTCTATGTAAAAAAAAGGTAGTTATCAATATACACAAAGTGTCAGTTTATTTGAGAATCCTTATAAAACTGAAAAAGTTGTATAGTTAATGTTTATTTAATCAACTGCTTATGTTGTTAATCGCTAAATCGTGAATAGTCTGCTGAACTTTTGGCTATTATTTTTTAAAATATTGGCCATTATTTTATTTGAGCCAGTGTGATCCCTGGAACTTTGCCAGGTAAAGAAAGCAATAACTACCTAAACTTTGTGATCTCAAAATCTTTACTTAATTTAAATATGGACAGTTTCAATATCAAATAAGGCAATTTCCATTACATAGATGAAGTGGTGAGATGTTGATTACAAATATATATTGCACTTAAACATGTCTCGCTGAGGTAATTTACAAGTAAGTTTTTAGTGTGAGAATATTATCTGAAGTGTAAGCTATATTTGACTGAAATTTTATTTCTATATTTATAAGTTCCAAGTCCAAATATATAAATCCTATAGTTTTATCCATTATGTTGCTGTTTTTTTGTTTTGTTGTTTTTTCTTCTTCAAATTTACAATAGTTTTGTACAGATCATGTTTTAATTATAGAATTTTATAACCATATGCTGCAGCCAACAATACAATACGTAAAATCAACATATACATACTGGAGTCTGGCCTGGCTAGTCAGGAGGTTTTTAACACTTCCTGTGTTTTTAGAGTTATATATATAAAGATCTCACCCCTTGTATTTTACCGGTTCCTGGAGTGGGTGGGGCTGATATGCAAGGCAAGGGCAGGTTATCCTTACAATCAGGGTGACAAATTGATCTGCAATCTGTAATACACAAAACATAGGTAACTATATTATCACACACAGACAACGATTTTACAAAAAAAAAACAGAAAGAGATCATTACAAAATCACTTAAAATTTTCTGTTGCACATTAGCCACATATTTAAAATCATTTAATTATGTCTGTAGCATTTAATGATTAATATATTGGAAATCTGGTCATAATCATTTGATAATAAAAGAATTGGTTTCACGAAGATGCACACTTATCAACAAACCAAACATGTCTCACATTAAATCATCATTTTCACGACTTTGTAAATATTGTCTTCCCTTTGCAGTTGTAAATTTTTTAAAAGATTTAAATTAATTGTAAAATATCAACTGTTAATAAAAGTTTATGTGCATAGGCCTAGAAAAACATTGAACTCTTACTCCTGAAAGAATTGCCAGTTCTTTTTTTTTTTAAATAATAATACAAACTTACCTTTACATTTCATAGCCAATCTTCCGAAGCCAATTCTCTTTCCACACTGAAAAGGTTTGTCAAGACACGTAAATAACAAATTTACACACTTTAAGACTATCTAAAACATGTAAGGGCTATTTTAAAGTGTTAAGCTCTTTCAAAGACAAGGACTCAAGCACTTTGAAGACGATACTTTTATACCATTCGAAGGTCACACTTAACCCATGTGAGAATCAAATAATGGACAGGAAAGATAAAACAAAACAAAAAGTGAATGGGCCGTCCTTAAAAAAATGTTTGTTTGCAGTAACCCGACCAAGAATTTTCAAGGTAGGTAGGTAGGTCGATTGATTTTTTTTAAATTTTTTTTTTTATTGAACTGTACTCCCAAATAAACATGGAATTTCAAAATGCTGGACAATGTATGCTTTGATAATCTGGTAACAATTAATAAATTGATAACTGAATTCTAATTTAATAAGAACTACATTTTATTTCTTCTATTAACCTTAAAGCACAAGGCATAATTTTCTGATTGAAAAAAAAATATTTTTTTATCCAGACCACGAAAAAAAATTTGAGTAGGGGCAAATTTTGTGAGTCGGTCACGTTACTGCAAACAAACATTTTTTTAAGAATGGCCTGGGGCTAATATTCTAATTTTCTGAAAAAAAAAAATAGTTAGAATTGAAAAAGAAAAAAAAACTGGAATATTGCATAAAATATGTTTAAGAAGAATACAGAACAAAATTAAACAATATGTTTGCCCATGGGGCATAAACCAAAGAAAATCATACCGGTACACAAGTCCTCGGTCTAATCACTGTCTCCGAGATGAAGAAGTGAATTCTGTTCAAACCTTTGCTGGCAGAATGTGCTTTCCTCAACATGGGCGTCCTGATGACAAATAAAACATGACAAATTGTATTAACAAAACCATACTTCTTCATAAATTAGCATACTTCAGACAGTAATAACTCTATTAAAGCCAAGGACAAACTGACTTTCTAATGAATGTCTATTTAGTTGGCCAGCATGCCTATATACTTCAGGCATAGTAACATTATACTTGTAGATAATATTCAAAGATTAGGCAATAAGATGATCAAGTAAATCTGTTGTGGTATATTTCAGTACTTGACACTTAAAGAAATTTAAAATCATCCTGAAGACAAACAATCCTGTCATTTTCTCACACAATTATTTCAAACATCTTTTTAATACTCTGTTAGGGTCTAATTTTCCCCATTTTAAACTTTTCTTTGATGACAAATATATGAATATTGTAACAACTACAATGACAACACATGATGCAAAGATGGATCTTAATCACTCGGACAATAGAATAAATAAATGGTTGACTTGAATACTATCAAAGTACAAACATGTCAAGATAATCAATGACTATGAAAAACTGAAAATTAGCAACTATCCTAAAAGCTCTATCCTATATCAGCAATTATACGAAGGTGATTGTAGGTAGGTTGAACATTACAGTCAAAACTTTGCCTTAACCATTAACTTTTTCCTAAGTACACAATCACGTGTCAACAAATAAAACTTACGTAGGTGTTCCACGCAGGGTGCTCTTGCTGGCATTTGTGTTCATATTTCTTGGTGTCCATGGATCAGCATCTGATTCTGTTTCACTTTCTATAAAATGATCATATTTTCTAGTTAACTTTTATGAAAGAAAGATAAACAATAAGGCATGAATGAAAATTTGTTTTACTTACTTAAAAAGCCACAATACTTAATAAACACTTTTTTCCAATTAAGCAGTATCCATATTTGTATACATTCATTTAATAAACGCTGGATATCAAATATGTAATTCTGTTAAGTAAAGATGAACTTGAAAACAATTTTACAAAACTCAAGAAGTGAGCTTTTATAAAAATTTTCATTCAAATTCTATCAATATATAATGAAAAGTATGACTCCTAGAGCAGTAAAGACATTGCTTTAGTTGAAGACTGCAAAAATTACAAACCACAAAACAGGCTCATTTGCAAAACCAAATTATTCACAATTTAACATATAACAAACCGTTTTGGCATTGAAAATGTGTCTGATAGTCAGACAGGTAAGAGGCCAGAACCCCTCTGACTTTTGTGTGCCTATAAGGATGCTTAGACAAGCATTAAATAAAATAAATTCCTTAATTTCTATAAACAAAGTAAACATTTACCCATCATATGTTTGTCCAATGCAGGCTCGCTGAAACTTTTGTTAAGCTTACGACCAGCACTTGGTACAGATACTTCTGTTGTTGCCTCAATTGGTCGGCCATCTGCCGTTACTGTGATTGTTGTTGTTGTCACTACTTCATTCTCCTTAAATAATAAATAGTAAATAAGGATTTATGGAAATTTATGTATTACCAAAACTATAGCTTATATTACTGTATTGTGTCCAGTACACATTACAACTTGCTGATAATACACTTATTTGGTTAGAAAGATTTTGACATACCTCTATAGTTTTGTGTCTCTTTGGCGGCGTCACATTCATATCTTCCTGTGGCGGAGCTGATGGTCTCTTGTTTCGCTTGCTACGTCTACGACGTCCGCCACACGCTGGTTCGAGGTCCTCTTCTGTCTTATCCCAGTAATCGATGTCCTCATCAGACAGTACAGAGTGGTTTGACTCATTGATCCTCGATAACCTACAAACACAGACAATGACATGTATGCAAACATGCAGATTTATGTTCATGTAATATCAGATAATAATCTTATACTTTGTTCTCCTATTGATTTGTTTGTTTGATTGGGTTTTACGTCACACAGACACAGTATAGGTCATTTTGCGACATTCCAGCTTTACTGGTGGAGGAAGACCTCAGGTGTCCTTCCGTGAATTATTTTAGGCACGTACGGGCACCTGAGTAGTTGTTCTCCTGATGAAGATGAAACATTTGTGAATACAGGAGACATGTAAGCACGTTCTTATACGACATTATCACCTCAACAGAAAACTAAAGCATTCATTTTTATTCAAATTACAACACTCACTAGTAAAATTGTCTGATTGATGAAGGGATTGCATACTTTTTTATATTTTTATATTTAGCTACAATTGCTTTGAAATTTAATATACCTTTTTGGTGGCGAGTCTTCGTATGTGGAACGTTGAGCTGTTGTGCTTAAGAACGCCAGCCTCTCCCTGTCATGTTGGTCCAATTTATTTCCGTGCTTGCCGTCCATCAGTAATTCACGGATCAGAGCAATCTGTCGCTCCTATAAGGGTAAAAGTACAATTATAATCAATGGAAAAAATTCACTACTCAACTGTCAAATGTGATTAAAATAAACTTAAATACAAATAACTAAATAAATAGATATGAAAAGTGACAGTTAAATTAAGTTTGTTTAAATTTTTCTACAAGCAATTAATGGGTGAAATGCCATTGAATAAATGTTTAAAAATCTTTAAAAGCTGACAATGATCCTTATTTGTAAACAATTATTTTGCTTGCTAGGTGGATAGTTTATCATGGAGTTTACATGAAACAAGTCAACTTAATTCTAACCCAACTGGCATGAGAAACAAAGTGATATACAGTGAGCAACCTTAACCCTTTACCTCATATATACGCGAAACAACGCACTTTCGACCCCCCCTTTTTTTTAGGCCTCAAATAGTGAAAAAATGTCCTATTTTGGCCCCAAACACGTTTTCGTTTGAAAAATGCTGCTTAAAAAATTGAGCACTTTTTCGGCGGCGCCTCCCATCCAAAAGATACATCAGGGGGTTGCCAGAAGGGGGATGTGCCCCCTTCTGTTAAGGGGGTTTGAAGGGGGGGCGGAGTCCCCCTCATTGCCAAGAAAATTTTGGACTTGTGAGAGGCTAAAAATGACCCCAGGTCGATCATAATGTAACGTGTAACCAACGCTGAAAAGCCTTTGACTCTATCTCAATTCTTTGAGAAGTTGCAGCACTTTGAAATAAATTTTGATGGAAAAAATCGAGGCAAAATAGTGATTTTTGGCAATTTTGAGATGTCCCCTCGTTGCCATGGTAACAGGAAATTTAAGACTGAGCATGTCGTTACAAAGGCAATGATCCAGTCAACATTTGTGCCAAGTTTGATTAGTATTGAAGCATTTTTCATAGTTTCATAGCAGTTTTAACTTGTAACAGGAGGCTTTTCAGTGAAAACGGCCATTTTTCACAATATGCTCATGGGGGAAAGGGTTAAAAAGTTCTACAATCATACAATTTAGGTCACTATAAGATATATGAGCCGCGTCATGACAAAACCAACATAATGGGTTTGCGACCAGCATGAATCCAGACCAGCCTGCGCAGTCTGATCAGGATCCATGCTGTTCGCTATCAGTTTTTCTACTTGTAAAAGGGTTGTTAAGCGAACAGCATGGATCCTGATCAGACTGCGCGGATGCGCAGGCTGGTCTGGATCCATGCTGGTTGCAAACACATTATGTTGGTTTTGTCATGACGCGGCTCATATAATGTTATACACCTACCAGCTGCTCCTTATCATGTTCCACTTTCAACCGTTTCTGTTCTTCTTTTTCTATCAAGTTTCTATAAAATTTCAAAAATCAAGTTTCTCAACATTAAATATTTTAATTTCAATAAGTTTAACAAAATAGACTTTATTCAATAATTTTGTGTTTCATTTTACCTGATAGCTTTATATTACTTTACTTTAACACACATGTATTTAGATGTGTGATGGGTATAAATAACAATTCAAGTAATGTTAAACCAACAGTTAAGAAAACCAATTTTGGCAACATTTTGTAGCCATGTAATATGTAAAACTACTTTGCTTGAACTATTATTTAAGGTTCCAACATTCACCATTATACTTTACAATAAAGATGAGAATGATAAAATAATGTCTTCAACAGTGGATAACATAATATTTAGACATATTCAATTGTATCACAGCAATCTCTGATAGTGTTAGAAACTTAGAAAGTTCATCATAAGTTAAGAAAAGCCAGGACAAACTGGAAGATTATATCGAACATGAACAGTTACACTACTTTCAAAAGTAAAGCACTGCCATTTATAGCAAATACTCTCATTCTATACCTTGCATGTTTAAGTTTAGCATCCAGTGTTTTGTTCTCAGATTCAAGGGAGATCATCTTCCCTCTCAGATGCTGAAGTTCCTCTTCTGATGTTGCCCACTGTCTTCTGCATGATTGCTGGTTCTCCGCAAATGTTTTAAATTCTGAGAAAAAAGTATCACCGTTAAAGGTACATTCTAACATTTCTTTAAATAGTCACTAGTCTATTCTAAATATAACTACACGAAGTGGATTTGACCTGGTATAGGAGATTATTCCAGCGCCTAACAGTTCTAGGGAAGTATAACCAGGGGTCTATCAATCTCTGAATACTGCCAACCTCTCTAGTGATTGTTAAAGGCAGGTAATAAGTGTATGGATTGTAAGTAAAAGGTCAAGAAAAATATATCCAGATATTGTAAACAACATTAAACATGCCAGGAATGACGAGAGTTGAAATGTATTCTAGTCATGGTAAAATTTGAGTGACGAAGAATTTAGGATCAATAAGTTAAAAACACTGGTAACAATACCTGGTTCTATTCCTGCTGATAAAACCTTGGCATTCCTCATCAATTCATCAAAAGCTGCCATTAGACTCAACTTGGAATCCATCTGTAAATGAACAAGCAATTATCATAGTATTGCAAGCAATCCATAAGTCCCCTACCGGTTAGAACCCCAGCAACATTCTGATTTCAATTTTACCAGTGAATGAATGACATGAATGAACTTAAATATTTTGAGTTCTAAGTTTGTCTATTTCACAGTAATGTGTTAAGTTTCCCTGCCTAGTAAGGCAATTATGTTTATACAACCTTGTCATATTATTACGATGTAGGATTTTAAAGTAAATCCTATTAGGAATGAAGAAGTTGGAGTAAAAAATACCACTTTCTCGAAAAAAATCTAAGTTCAAGGGGGACATAATTCTGGAAATAGTCTTGCTAGAGTATTTAACCTTCTCAAAAATGTTGAGTGATAATAAGAAACATATATATGAAGTTTGAAGTAGATACATTAGGAAATAAAGAAGTTATTTAAAAAAGACAACATTTTTTTTCATAAAAATTCTAAGTTCAAGGGAGGTAATACTGATAATTTTTGTGCTAGAGTTGTAAACCTTGTCACATATGATGTGGTTGATGACCAGAAACTTATATTTAAAGTTTGAAGTAAACACCTTAAGAAATAAAGAACTTATAGTGAAAAAGCTGAAAAAATTAAATCAGAAATCTTGAAATCCAGGCTATTTCAGTATTTGTTGCCATAGCAACCAGAATTTTCAACATAGGAAGAAAAGAAAAAGTTGTGCATAATCTGCAGACTGCCATCTACCCATATTTTATGTTTCATAAAAATATTTTCAGTACTTTTTGAGTTATCACTGGATCCAGTTTATGTGTTAAATTTGCCATATTTTCAGACTATTTGTTGCCATAGCAACCAGAATTTTCAACATAGGAAGAAAAGAAAAAGACGTGCATAATCTCCATACTGCCATCTATCCATATATGAAGTTTCATAAAAAAAATTTCAGTACTTTTTGCGTTATCGCGGGATCCAGTTTTGTGGACGGACGGACTGACGGACTGACAGACGGACAGATGGAGGGTAAACCTAAAGTCCCCTCCGGTTAAACCGGTAGGGGACTAATTATAGTTTTCATAAATGGCCTAGACAAAGCTAAAGATCACTAGCACTGGCCTATACTAGCTTAAGCAGTGATTTTTATCCTTGTATTTTACAGCAGAATATAAAAGGCTGTTTCCCCTAGCCCAAAATAGGTATATTTTCCCCTAAAAATGCTAATATTTTCACCTAAAATGCCCTGTGCACATTATTCATATTCATCAGAACCATGACTTAACAGCACCTTTTCGTAACGGGTCTTACCCAACACTTTAATGCCGCATCAGATGGAAAAAAAGAATGAAAAAAGGTGGCTTATAAGAATTTGGAAGCCAGAACTGGGGCCCAAACCTGCTAACCAAAAGTTCGAATCAGGGTCACCTAGGCCCTAAAAAGTACTCAGCCACCCAAGTCAGCTCGGCACAATTCCAACTCAGCACAATGTACAATACACCAATAAACACTTTCAGAACTAGCAGACGACAGGCTATTCTTATCAGTAGTATTTAGAGTAAAGATTACAGGTTGCGTATCTCAATGTATAAATCGTATGTAAAATGGTCTGACATATGGTAGGTTTAACAGTTAATTTAAATACTTTGGAGTCAAAAGATATGTTGAAGTTTACACTGTGATGAAGCTAAGATCCAAAGCTTTCTATTGGTGTATTACATTTTAAAATCTGACATTTAATCACAACAAACTAGCGGTTTAAAAACGGCTTATTTGTATTGTTTTAGCATAAGCGGTATCGATTTTACTCGAAGATACAGGGCTGCCAACAGCAAATTGCAAAATCCGAGGAAAATACGCCGGGGGTCAAGGGGAGGCCCCCTTTGCGGGTGCAGGGCAAAGCCCTGGTGGGGGCCCAGGATTCTGATGATTTGGTATGCCCTAAAATCAATTTCCTGGACTCTAAATTTGACTTCTTTGGTTGCCTTTAAAGCCATTCAGAGACAATTTAGTTGGACTTCAGGTTTTCATCAGTCCTCAAAACAAATATCCGACATTTTGACAACAGACAAGAGCGACAATGTAAACTGTAATTTGATTGGTTATTCTAAAATAGAATGCCGGAAAAGACTCGATTTGACCAATGAGAAAAGCGCTTACAGACGTACCATAGGCGGCTAGCGTAACGATAAAAGCTGAAGCGTGCCGGTTTTGGGGTACTGTATAAAATATGACAAATGAATTTATTGTCTTTGTCGAATTTACATCGATCGCAAAAATGACCCAGGAGCTCGAGAAATCCGCGGATTTCCGCGAAAAATCGGCAGCCCTGAAGATAAGGGAAGCAACTCATTTTTTTCACTTGATATACCTCGGTTATTTACGTAGATCATATTGAAAGTTTTTATGGGTGTATTATGCCGCTTTCCCGATACCTTAACGGCTAAAATGGCGCATGCGCAGTTCGTGTCACTATTTTTGTGACCTAATTTTCATTTACAGCCACAGAAACTACTAAACAGAAATAAAACAGAATGAAAACACCAAAACTATGTTGATTTGTTGAAATATTTACCTCAAAATAATTACTGCCCTTGAATCTTTGTCATAGCAGACGCTTCTCATCGATCCGATACTCTATTGGTCTCAGTGTAAAAAGAGCTATAAAGGTGGACAACTTTTGGTGAACTACAGGTGTGCTTAAAATTTCAGACCTTTTATGTCATTTCAAGAAAAAATGTGCACATGGCAGGGGAGCTGTTCATTAAAATTACTAAATTAACATGTCAACTGTTCTCAAAACAAGAATATAAAACAAGTATTTTTTAACAAATAAACACATAAGTCAACACTTAAACTTGTGTAACAGTAACTATAAACCAATGAATTATATTTTTTTAATAATATGTTTTCTAAGCATCACAGCAAGGGCAAAGGAAAGTGCTGAGACGCCGAACAACCCGTACTGGAGTACAAAATTTGAGGTGAACACAGTGAGAACAGTTGTCACAGTAAGCCCATGTAATAATTTTGAGATCAGGATGATCATTGTGATTAGGTGGGGACCACTTTTTACAGACACAACATAGGTCTTCATCTGCAATTTGTTCATCAAAGTCAGAATAGCTATTTTCATCATCCAAATGTACAGGTATTGCTTGATTTGTTTTACATGTTCCACTAGTTAATGGCTTCGGGCTTCCAAATTTGAGTGATTTCTTAGGATTGGCATTTTTCTTTGATTTATGTTTCTTTTTTGGAGTTTCATTTTCCTTATCTTCTAAATCAGTATGAGATGATGGTTGTGTCCCTTTCAATCCCTCTTGGTATTCTTCTAGTTCTTTCAAATAGCTGTCCTCTGTAATTGCTCTCCCACTAGGTTTAGGTTTCTTCATTTTCTTCTTCACCTCAACACTACCATTGCACTTTTGACATAGGTTGTTGACATTTTCAATTGTCTTTGTACTTGTAGACTCTGTTTTCTTTTGTAAGAAGTCTTCAACAGCCTCTTTTCCTTGCCTTAGCGCTTTCACTTTTTTAACTGGTTCTTCTTCCCTGAAGCCTTCAGCTGGAAAAAGCTTTTCCATTGGAACTACATCCTTAGACAAAGGATAAATACCTGTCTTCCGGAATCCTGCTTGAATGTTAATAGGTGTCATCGCCTTCAAGTACGCCTTACATGCTATTTGACACATGTCATATCTGGTGATAACCTGTCCAATATTCTTCTGCATGAAGGAGGAACATTCTGAATAGTAGAATGTCTTGAATGGGCCAAAAAGTGAAACATCCAGTGGTTGAAGAAAATGTGATGAGTGAGCTGGTAAACAGAAAAGAATCAAATTTCGAGATCTTGCCCACTTAATTAAACTTGGTGAAACGTGTGAAGAATGACCATCAAACAACAGAAGAATCACTTGTGAATCATCGGTGCCTGACCTTGCATATGGCAGAAAGTGCTCCTTAAGGTATGTTGAGAACAGCTCACCATTCGACCATCCTGAATCAGACATCTCCCCTCTTGCACCAAAGGTTGCTCCATTCATCAAGTCACTATTAAATCTTTTTCCTTTGAACACAAAGAAAGGTGGAACAGTATTACCAATGGCATTGACACAACCAATGAGTGTTGTTGTGGTAGAGCGTGGTGAAGTTACTGCCTGTGGTTTACAATCTAAAGATGATATGATGTTTGGTGGCCTATGATCTGGTTTAAGTCCTGTTTCATCAAGGTTGTATATGTGCTGTGGCTTATCAAGTAGATCATACTTGACCAGAATATCTTTCAGGTTTTTGTAGTAGTGGGCAACAGATTCAGGGGTACAATATCTTGCACGGTTGCTATCCAAACTACTTGGAGAAAAGGGATGCTAAACGCGTTTTCCACCTATTTAAAAAACCATACAACCAGTTGTTGCTCATGGGTTTGTTTTTCTCTTTCTTTCCCATATCAAAAGCCAGTTCACCTGCTATCTGTTGCAGCTTAGTGTTGGTATAACCATAGCCAAGAAGACTCATTGCCTCTAAATGCTCCACAAGAACCTCCTCCTCCTCCTTACTAAGTGTCGTAATACCCCCATGGACAAAATTATTAGCATCAACACGACCATCAACACGATCTCTTAAGGTGGTTAATGGGACACCAAACAGTCTTGAAGCCCTTTTCACAGGTAACTTTTTGTCTTTCACTGCCTCATATGCTTTCAGAAGGGACTCAGATGAATATCTACAGTATCTTCTGTCAATCTTGATTGGCTTTACCTAAACAATGGTTATAAAAGGCTTTGATAATGAAAACAAGCATTATTTTTTTAATTGGTTTTTAATTGGGATCTATCTATGAAAGGCTTTCAGTTCAATGGGCTCTATCATATGATAACAAAGAAAGTGGTCCAAGTTTTTTGGCACATACTGTATCACTAAAGCTTTTCGTGACTCAGATCAAAGGGAAGTAACTTTGCAGAGTAAAATTAGAATACATATATTTTGGTTATTTATGATAAAAGAGGAATTATTGAAGGTGTTTAACATTATTTTTATGCAAAAACATGTTTTAACTATTGCTGGATATGATTTTACCTGTTTTTTACGCATGATTTATAAATGTGTTTATTGATAAACGCTTGTCCGACGTAAAACTTGCATATAGTTCGGATGTATTCCTTGGCGTCGCGAGCTCGTATTCGGTACGGAAAATGACGTATCGGATCCACGAGAAGTATCGAATCGATGAGAATAAGGCATATATGATAATATACCAGATATCTCTTATTTTTCATTTTAAACAGCTTACCTTGATAACAAGCAAGTTATCAGAAAAAGTTAATATGTTTATTGTGTTGTTTGTTTTTTTTAAAAGTGGACCCAGTGAACTGTGCCGAGTTGACTCTTTACCTGTTTACCAGAAGATCTTCACTTCTTGCCGTACGTGATAGCCTATAAAATCAAAATCTATTAAATCTAAATCAAAAATTCGCCGTATCAATTAAAAAATAAACAAAACATATGATACCGAATATATTATGTACATTGTTTGTCTCACTCCTGAAACATAAAACTTTTTATAAAGGAAACAGGTGGGGTATTTTTGACAGAAATTTTTATTCTAACGACCGCATTGTTTTATTCACATATAACAAAATTTTGAATTCACTTGAACATACAGATTTATGCTAAAAACATCCTAATGTCAACTTACTTTGCGTTTCATTGCAATTTATTGTACTTTAGATAAGAAATTCATTTAAATTTGTAGCTCCTTGTTCCCGGTTGTTGATTTGAACACAATTATCAATCAGCCAATCAGATCACTTGACTTAACTAAACGCATACTTCCGGTTTGCGATAAAAAAAAAAAATCGAGAGTTGTCGTTCGTTATGATAATAAATAAAAAAAGATAAAAAAAAAACAGGCGAATAAGTTATAAACGAAGGGCAATGAAAACATACTTATTTGGAAAAATACTTATTCAAGTTCATCAGCTTTATTTATGTTTAAAAAATACAGGAATTTGTGTTATAGTATATTAATTTACTTTGCCACCGGTTATGGTATAAGGTAGCGTGGCCGAGCGGTCTAAGGCGCTGGTTTTAGGCACCAGTCTCTTCGGAGGCGTGGGTTCGAATCCCACCGCTGCCATAACATTTTTTATTTTTAACTTTCAAAATTATATTAACACCTTAACAAAAGTTTGTGGTCAAATCGTAAAAATCGATTAATTCTAACAGAACGAAAATACTAACCAAACAAGTGCAACATCATATATTGTCATAGTGATATATGGAAGAGGATTACATTTTCGTCCTAGAAATTATTCATCTTGTGTGTATTTTGCAAAACAAAAAGATGTAACATTAAGTGTAAACAAGGGGCTGTAGTATTCATCCATATTAACATTGTCTGGAAAGCAACACATCACATGGTTAAAACTCAGTATTAAAAGCTTGAAAAAGAAATAAATGCATTATACATAAAAATAAGAATTAATACCAGCAAAGAAAATGTGTACAATTACATAGAAAATACTAGGGCTGCATATTGGGATTGCATGAACACTATACAGTTACTTTAATTGTGACAAATTCGAAAACAAACATGGCACTATATTCTTTTTGTGGTATGCGGGGGAGGGGGGGGGGGGTTAAAAGTTTGAAAAAGATTCTTCGTGACGTGAAAATGGTATCTCGCGTAATACACCAAAGGAGATGGCTGGTGGTCGTAACCGTCTATTTTCGACTCTCTTTACAAAAGACAAGAGTGCAGCGGCCATGCTGCAGATACAGTACATGTAGAATGTTCCCTTGTTGCAGACATCTTTCTTGCATGTCAATAGAAATACAATAAAAATGTTAACCAAAATTAGACAGCTGGTCCCGAGGCGATGCAATGAAACAAAGACTACTTAAAGAAAGTGCTCAGTTAATTGCACACATACTTACAATATTGTGTAAAAAGGTATTTTTCTTCTGGATAAGAAGGAGGCATTTGTCTCATCAATATTTAGTGTCTGAAAAGTTTACGGCAAGTCTCCTTGACTTACTGCATGCTTAGTGTTCAACTATTTTACAGTTGGACACAGCGCTTTCCTCTTTTAACTGCATCAGACGGACCAAGTGAAAGACTGCGATGGCACTCCTTTAAACCCATTGGGACTGAATAAAATATGATATGTCCGTGCCATTTCATGGCGTACGGTTCCCAAGTAAAAGGATGAGTGTGTCCTAAACAAGAAAACAATGTACATAACTATATAAAATGGAATTTTCAAAAGGGATCAGAGGTTATATGAAGCCTGCACATCACAGGCAAGACGTCGACGTCAAAAGACAAATTTAAAAAGCAGGCGTGATTATTTATACAGTATTCAAGTCGGAATACTGAAACCACCAAACAAAAACAAAAAAACAGATCAAACATTGGGAACTTAAAATACCACAAACATTTATACAAAAATAATTAAGCTGTGATAGATCTTTAATAGACCAACTCTAGGGTATTGTTCTACTGTATAAAACTCTCAACGATAAAACTGATTCATTTCAAAAGCATGAGCGTTATGAAATGCTCACTTTGAACAAAAATGAATGGTATATATATCAAACAATATAAAATGTATGTTTGTCGAATAAGGGGACTCGGTTATTGCCTCGCGCCCCATATTTCAATAAACAACCTGTATTACCTAAGTAATTTATAATAACATATAATTTAAGTAATTGATAAAGATCCACGTACTTTAATTACTATTTAATGAAATTTTATACAATACAAACAATGTTTTTTATCCTTTTTAACACAATTTGTAGAATAAAAATCTCCTCGAGGTCACATATTGTACAAAAAGACTCATATTTGATTGTGGAAAATATTGTATACAGATATAATAATTTGCCACATGAAATTCGGTCCATTAATTCCTCGTCTACAACATTCCTTGTACAGACACAAAAATTAGTCGCTATACAGCGATATAAAAATTATGCTGATAAAACATACAGACAACGTTTAGTCCATAAAATACCAGACAAATGGTCCATAAAATACTAATAGTTTCTTAGCACAAAACAATTTTATCTTCAAAAAAAAAAACAAAGAATTAGTGAAAGGAAAAGCTTTAGCGTCATATGCATGCCTTCGTGTACGTCAATTTGTCCAAGAAACCTACGTTTATTTTCTCTTATACATGTAGTCATTCAATTGTACAAAAATAAAATAAAA